TATACCTATGTATATGTGTTTACTTGTAAATCTATAACATCTGATTGCTATTTGAGTACAGATCACTAGAAAATTAGCATTATTCAGCTTCAACATTTCCATTGTATTCAATGGGAACAAATTTTGGTCAGAATTATGTTTCGTTTTTCTTTCAGCCTATTTCCAGCTGAGCTGACAAGCAAGGAGTTGTCCTCTGGCACAGCCTTGAAATCCCAGTTTCCATGTGTAGCTATTCGTTTCCATACAGCATGAGGCTGAACGCAGGCTGTTTGCTAAATGCACACCTCAAACCAGGAATAAGAGCTTTTAATTTCCATGTGTTCCTTTCTGGATTAAAGATATGATATGTTTTACCTCAAGCTCAGCTGCTGGCATTGGCAGAGCCCACGAAACTCCCAGCATTTGTCAAAAAAGTGAGTTATGATCCCTTTTGGTTACAGACATCTTAAAATCAGGAACAGAGGGCACTGCAAGGGCTTACAAAGCAGAAAGCAAAGAATTGAAAATTTGCCCAGAGAACATGAAACCTGTTACAATTGCTGCACCTATCTCAGGTTGGGCATTATTAATGAGTTATTAATGTCTGATGCTAGTGACACATCATGAAAGAGCTCAGCCCATGAAGACTGTAATAGTGTCCTGCTAGTTAAAAGTGACATACTTCATGTGTTCCACTTTCCTTCTCATAACTTCCTTTTTTTTTCTTTTTTTCTATTAGTGACAGCCAGAACCAAATCTGTGCTCCTGAAGGAGGAAGAGAGCGTCATAAAAGGTGGCAGGTGTATTTAAATCACATTTAGTGTTAACAAACAGCTCAGGCTAGTGAAAACACGATTAGAGATTTTGTATGCTTAAGGGCTATTAACAGTATGCTTCTACCCAGGTGGAATCAGAGTACAAAGAGGAAGAAACCTCCATTTGACGCTGCCTAGCTAATCTCAGCAGTATATCTCTTGTTACTGTGCCCACGATTGAAGGTGAGCTCTGTAGTGCTGCCTTTGAGACTCAGTGGGGCAGCTCTCCTTCACAGCAACGGGGGCAAATAATCCCAGGTGTGTGGCAGGAAGGCTCTGGAGTGAAGACTGTTGGGTTTAAATTACCCAGTTTTCCATGTTCTTTTCTCTGCTGGAAAAGTTCAACTGTAACATTTGCTCTTGAAAGAGTTCACACAACGTATAAATTTAGATTTTTCAGTCAAATGTTGCTGATTGAGAAAGTGTTGGTAGAGTTGGTACTTCTAGATGTACCGCAAAGTGTGTGAATTCATAGTACAAACAAAATGTGCTGGGAGGTGCAGGAGGCTTCTTACACATGGTTTTTAATGTATGTGAAATAATATGACTCTACCAACATATGAAAGCATGGATTTGGGAAATGGAGCATGTCATGTAATAGGTGATGTACGTCTGAATTTCTGAAAAATGGGTCCTTTGCAGAGGCTTTTCTGAAGAGGTGAAGTTAAATTGAGTCAGCATGGGTACGTGAGCCTCAGTGGAGTTGCACAGGTTGCAGTGTAAGCTAGCAGAGCACACTGCAGACACTGACAAGCAAGAATACAAATTTATTCAGGTTTTTAGTCATTAGTAGATACATTATCTGTATTTTCTCCTTCATTTACCCCCTCCTTTAAATTGTTAATAAATATGTTAGTAAGACTGGGCCCCCATGCCAGGGTCTGTCATAGCTCACTCAGTACCAACTCCCACCTTGATCTGTTGACGTACAGATCTCTCATGCTGTATGTCAGGAAGATGCTTATCATCACAAGTAGAACAGAAGGTTTTGACCCTTTTATGTGACTCACTCAGTTATAACTACAGTGCATAAAGATAACAGCCGTTGCGATTATGATTTGCATTCTATGCAACCATGCTGATCCTGGAGATACACCAGATGGATGCTCTTCCAAGGCACACGTGCCTGCAATGCATATCCCAGCCGAGTCTCTCTCATCCTACCCCTATTCAGAAAAAAAATCACTCAAGTACCTCACAAAGTTTTCAATCTTATTTTCATTTCAGTGAGATTTTGATGTGTGCTTTGCACTATTTCATGCTTATCTGTAAATAGGAGCAATGTGCTCTTCTCGTCCACAGCTCATGCTAAAGCTTTGGTTGTCTGGAGGGCTCTCCAAAACTTTTCTGATGTAGCGTGGTACAGATTAAAGGTGATCTTTGCATGAGTGAGCACTGATGCAAGAAACTTTTCTTCCCTTCCTGTGTGCCCTGAGGGAAGGCCTTGGCCAATAGTAAATCCTTGCAGTCAGCCATGGAAAGAGCAACAAAAAAAAAAAAGACTGGGCTATGTCTTTCTAATGGTCCCATAGGGACTTCCACCTGCATCAGCAAAGTCAGTGTCAAGAAGGTTTCAGCAGGATGAGAGGAAAATGGGAAGCTCTCAGTGTTGCTCCCACAGCATGGTGCTCCATCAGGACCAGCAGCCTGTGGCTTAAAAACCACAGGAGGAAAGTTGTAGTGGTTCCATGTCCTGCTGAGACCTTGTTGAGACTGAACTGATCCCTACTGATGGTGCTGGAGAAGAGCTGCTGGCACTGGGGCTGTGGAGGAAATATCTGCAGTGCCTCATGTTTCAGCTGAAGGTATGATTGCTGGCCCTATAAGTATAGTGGTGTTTTGTGTAGCCAAGCAAACCAGCCCAAGTCACTGAGCAAGGAGTTAGCAGGTGTGCAAAAAACCCACACTTAGTTCATGCGTTTTTACATCTGCTTTTAGTTTTGTATCAATCAGCCCAAATCACATGACAGAGTTTCTGCTAAATTGGAACTTTAAAAAAACATGGTTCTGAGAAATGAAAGTTTTCTTCTGCAATAGGGAGTTTTGCTGTGAGGAAATGCCATTCCTCACAGTACAGGAGGTCATGGTGTGAAGCTTGGGGATGTGCTCTGCCCCAGGTTGGCTGCTGCTGGGGACCTCTGCAAACCTCCCTCTCCACACCTCGATTCCTTTGGAAACGTGAAAAAAATAATTTCTATTCTGTTTTAAAAAACGTTTTGACACCTGCAAACGAAAACCGCTGCAGAAATGCTAAGGGATGTTATTGTATCAAGTGTACGAGGACAGAGGGCAGTAATTTCTCAAAAGATTTTTTAAACGTAGAGCCTGCAAGTAACGAGGGGCAAAGTCAGTGAACCGAGAAGCAGCTGAATATCGTACGGCTCAGATCGTGCAGCAGGCCAGCCAGAGCTATGACCTCCCTTCCTTCCTGTCAGCTTGTTGCTAGCTACTTCAGTTTACCTTAAATCAATATTTACTTTATTATTTACAATATTGTGATGGTGACAATAATTTAGCAAAGTTATAATGAAAATATTTCAAGAGTGGAACCAAGTGAGCACCGGAGCAGTTTTCATGAGAAATGCACTTTGCCAGGAGCCCAAACTCCACCAGGCTGAGATGTGCTGAAGCTGTTGCAGCTATCAGTGAACATGCTTGAAGGTGGCTGCTTGGGAAGTTCATTATTTGAGTTGTGCAGCTACAGCTGGACAGTATCCTCCAAGTTCCTTGTGCTAATGGCTCTCTAATTTTTATTTCCAATGGGAATCGACAGGATAAAACTATTCAACTTTGTCCTCTGCACAAAAGCTTTATTTTCTTTGTGGCTCCTGTAGTAGTTGGCACTAGTTTTGTGACCGTTTTTTATTGCATGCAGGAGGCCACCTGGCCAGGCCTGTGATCCTCTTTGACGCCTTGCTTATTCTTAAGGGGAAGTAATCAACACATCAGCACCAAGTAAAGGCAGTAAGACAGGGCTGAACCTTTCGATACTGTAATTAAAAAGTGTCAGTGTCAATGCCCTTTTCGAGGTATTTATGACTGAAGTCTAAAAGCCTTCAAGTTGGATGGCAGGAGCTGCTGATTATGACTTTTAATCTTCTGTCTGATGGTGAGGGCAGCCAAGTACTCGTGCTTCTGGGTGCACTGAGCAACAGCCAATGTTTCCAAAAGTCACTATTTTGCTGCGTCTTTTTAAAGAATTGCTTACCCCATTTGTATGTCTATGTTGATATGGTTTTGTTACAGCAATTCTCAGGATTCCACGCTAAAACGCTCCACTGAAGAAACGATTTTCTTCCACAGGTTATTTCCTCTCCAGCTCTAAGAGTTCTATCAGTGAAGCCTGAGGTTGCGCAACATTGGGAGCTGGTAGGTTTAATCTTCCTTCCAGGACAACCACACTGAAGTGCATCTACACGTGAGGCTGCTACATTTTGCAGTGCTGCTTCACTTCTGCAGCAAAGACTGACTATCACAAAGATGGTCAACTCCGTGCCTGTGTGGCTTGCGGGTTGCTCAAGGGTGGTTCCTGTGCTGAAGCGATGATGTATGACTGGTGAGGAGCATGCTGGTACTGAGCCCCGTGAAGCAGAACCAGGAGGGGCTGCTGGGGCTTAGGTTCACCGCCAACAAACCCACATTAACTCTGGATTTGACGGCTGGGATTTGGAGAGCAGAGGTACAAGGTTTTGGGCTTTCTTCTTTTTGTGGTGGTTTTGTATGCACTCTTCGGTTCCTGGTCCTGAGAAGTTGAAATTATTAATCAAAACCAATCGGGCTGCAAGCTGAGGTTGTTGTGGTGTAATGGACGTGGATCCCATTCAGTGAATCTTAAGCCTTCCACCTAAAGTCATCCATTATCGTTTATTCGGTGCTTAGGTTGATGACCCCTGCAGAAAGCCCATCGCTACTCCTCACAGGGGCTTCTCAGGGGGCCGCGGCGGCTCTCTCCCACCTCAGAGGGCGGCTGAGGGCCAGCGGGCAGCAGGGAGGCGGGACGGCACCCGCCCCGCGGGCGCTGAGGGGACGCGGGCACCGGCGGACGGGAACCCAATCGGGCAGCGCCGCCCGCCCGCCCCGCGCACCAGGAGGTGGCCGCCGGGGTCACGTGGCCCGCCCCTTCCCGGGTAGAAGCAGAAGTGGGAACCCCGGAGAGACGCGGCCGGGCGCGGCGACACCGCCGCCACCAGCACCCCGTGTTGACACCGGCAGCGCCCAGCGCCGCGTCGTCCGCGCGGCCGGCGGAGGTGAGGCTGCTGGGCGGCCGGTGGGCCGGCCGTGCGCGGGGCGTCGTGGCAGCGGGAGGCGGGCGGGGAGGGAAGGTGCCGCGAGGCGCTGCGGGGAAGGGGGCGAGGATTCGAGGGGCTCGCAGAGGGGACGGAGCCGCCCGGCACCCCGCGGTTGGCTGCTGGTCAGCGCTGCTGGCCGGTCTGCTGGAGGGGGAAGAAGCCCTGCGCGGCTCGGCTCGGCTGAGGGCCGCAGCCTGGGCCCGCCTTCGGTCCCTAGCAGGTGTTCCTTGCGGCCGAGCGCTTTGGTTGCCCCTGCTCGGCAAAATTCCGTGCAAACAGCCGTCTGCTGGTTGTGATTAATTGTTAGCGAGGTGGTGCTGCTGCTGGTGCTGCGCCCGGCTGGCTGAGCTGCTGTCCCGAGGCAGGGCTGGGGCAGAGCGTGCAGCGACGCGTGCAGAATGGGGCCGGCAGCGCCCAGAGCTCATGGGAAAGTGTAGAAATTGGGGCGAGTCTGACTTCAGATTCCGCTTTTTGAGCGACCTTTGTGTGCAGGGAAGGCACCTGCGGTGTCCTGTGGCTCAGGAGTGGTTCTGCTGTGCTCATCTGAAGCATTCATTGCCAACCTGCGCATCTATAATTTCACCTGTCTGCAGCTCTTTCTGTGTTTTATCAAATGTCAGCATGGTACAAATTGTAGACTGATCTTCAGATAAAGGTTTGGTTTTGAAATTGAGAAGTACTAGCACTAAATAAGCAGGTTCTTGGATAGCACCAAGTACATCTTTCTCCATGTCTGTGTTCACTTGGCTCTTTGCAGTGGGTCTTCCTGACCTTTTTGGTACAAAGTGTTCAGGCTCTTCACTAAAAGGCAACATAGAAATTACTGTTGTGTCACAACACAGTAAGTAATGGGTAACGCCAATTCTGCTTTTGATACAGGACAGCATTGAATTTTTGCTCCTGTGGTGCTTACAGTTAAAGGGAAAGAGTCATATGTTCATGTCTGTGCCTAAACCAGATCTTGTATGTTATGTGATCAACTCTTTGAAAGGGTAGATAACAGCAGGACAAGGGGATATGGTTTTAAGTTGAGGGAGGGAAGACTTAGGTTGGATGTCAGAGAGAAATTCTTTACAGAGAGAGAGGTGAGGTGCTGGAACAGCTGCCCAGAGAGGTTGCAGATGCCCCGTCCCTGGAGGTGTTCAAGGCCAGGTTGGATGGGGCCCTGGGCAACAACCTCGTCTAGTATTAAATGTGGAGGTTGTTGGCCCTGAATGTGGCAGGGGTTGGAGATTCATGATCCTTGAGGTCCCTTCCAACCCTGGCCATTCTGTGATTACCAGATCACTCATTGAATCATTTAGACCTTTCTTTCTGCTTTAGGCTTCAGGAACTTTTCCGTAGAAGAGCAGTAATGCTTCTGCTTCACACAGAGGTGTCTTGTAGCTCATGGTCCACTGATTTAGGGGCAGCCAGGTACTGTGTTGATGAGGATTATAATGGAGTTCTGCTGGGTGAATGGGTAGAAATATTGTAGGTTCAAGTCATTGTGCAGTAAAGGTTGTAAGAATGCCGAAGGGCACATACTTGTGTCTAGGAGGCCTCTTAATGTTGAGAAGGTTAGGTCTGGTATCATGTGTTCCATTTGTTCTTTTGGGAGGTCTGGTGTGTTCCACGGTTAGGAAGCTTTCTGTGGTGTTTGTTCTAAATTATGGAACAGGTAAACGGATGATAAAGGGATGGTTGGTTAGGTTGATGAAGTGCTATGATGTTCTTTTCTTTTTTTTGGTGTCCTCAGCTACATTGTTGCTTCACTGTAAGTTAAAAGCTTGGCTTCTAGCTTAAGATTTTAGGTAGGCTAAAAGCAGTGTTCACTTTCTTTTTTAAAGAAAGAGCTACTTTAAAAGAGGAAGTCCAGTCTATTATGTTCAGCGGAAACTGCTTAAGAAGCCACCTCTGAGAGGCAGTTCCTTTGTATTAAGGGGCTAATCCCTCACAAAATGCTTCATTGCCTTTTATTAATTAGTATGTTTAGAAGTTCCTTTGTGTGTTCTTTAAAGACACGTTTCACTTTACAGTTGCAACACAGTATGCTTTTTAAAGACTTATTTTTTATTTTATTTCTGTTCTCCTTGTATTTTTGTCGTTGTAGCTGGACGACTGTGCCTAAATTGCTAGACGCAAACTGGTGATGATTTCAGTGACAAGCTGGATTTGTTCCAGGGAGTCAGAAAAGATCAGCCGCATTCTGACTGAAATCTGACACTGTGTACAATCCTTAAAAGTTGTCCAGAAGTCTCAGTTGTAGCATTGGCATATGTGTATTTTTTTAAAGTAGTAGTAGGACAATGGAGTACCCTTTTCTTACACAATAACAAGCTAATTAAACATGGTATAATGTGTGACTCTTTGCAGAACACTAAATGGGCTTCAGGTTCTGTGCAGGCAAAGCAGAAGAGGCCACTGCAGATAAGAAGGGCCTCGTGTTTGCTTCTCTGATAGCCTAAAAAAACACAACCCAGTGTTCATTGAAGTTGTAGATTTTAAAAAGAGATTGGGAAGATTGCACTGGACCACTTCAGAGTCTGACAGATGGGACTGAAACTGGTTAGTGACAGCACTGAAAGACAGCTCTGTGGTATTGATGAGAGAGCAGAAAAGAGAGCTCCTTAGTGAAGCACAGGTCAGGAGACTGACATGGGGTGAGGGGGAGGAGGGTTGGAAGAAGTTAGCAAGGGGGAAGCGAGAAGTGACACGGACAAATTAGTTATCAGTGCAGAAACTGAAACTGTGATGGAGAGTAATGGGCTGAGGAGACAGGAGGAGAACAGAACAGCAGGGATGCTGTGGCTGAGGGAAAATCGTGCAGGACGCTTAGAGCTGTCCTGCCCAAGGGTGAAATTAAGGGGAGTCATGGGGAACTGTGTGGCAACAGTGGCAAAAATAGTATCACTTCTTTGTACGTGGATGATAGAGCAGGGTCTAGGGCTTTCTGTTTGTAGATAATCCTGCTGAGGAGTAATCAAGCTTGTAATTCGCTGTTAGGTTTTTGGAATTCTCTGCAAGCAGGAAATTAATGCTTCTGTATTAAGACAAGGCAAGGAAAACAGCAAACCTGCTGCAGTTCACCAGGGTGCAGCATTTTGACTGTCTGAAGTTGGTACTGTGAATGAAATAATAATAAAAAAGAACAACTAAGGGAGAGGAAAAAGGTTTTGATTGTGCTTCAAATGTTGCAAGTATTATTAAATATTATTTTCCATATTGATATCTCGATTGTTAATACTTAGGACAAAATCATTTTCCAGATATTTTTTACAGTTCCAGAAATTAAGTTACCCTCAGTTTCAATCAAGAAGTGAAGATTTAACTTCTAGCATAACATAGAACTCACAAAGTTTTTATAGCACACAAATCTGCAAGTACTCTAAAACAGTAAAGAAACTTCTGTAGGAATGACTGAAAACAGCCAGTTCTATCTCTGTCAAACAGAAAAATGTCCATGAACAGAGACTTGCTGGTATTTTACTTGCTATAAAATGGTAAGTAAAAACTGATCTGATACTTGAAAGGACCCTAAGCTTGAAGTGATACTTTTCTGATGTCTTATGAGACTCCTGAAGTCATCAAATCAAGATAAATATAGTCAAGGTTTGAGCTTTGTTACTCTATATATGGATCTACCAGTATCTTTAATTTTAATAAATGTGGTTTTAAAGGAATAAAAATACCATCTTAAATACTGATTATTTTTTTCCTCCTTTCTTTCTTTCTTTTTTTCTTTTCAGCGCAGTGAAAACCATACAAGTTGGTTTGAAAAAGAAACCTAAAACAATGCCCAGAAAGAGTATAGATTATGGAGAGCTGCCGGAGTATGAGAAAAGCCAGATCAAAAGGACATTGGAGCTGGGAACTGTTATGACAGTATTCAGTATTAAGAAGAGTAGTCCAGAAAGGAGGACTATTCAGGTTATAATGGAAACCAGGCAGGTAGCCTGGAGCAAGACAGCTGACAAGATCGAAGGTTTCTGTGAGTATTTTCAAAGCGTCCATGAACTTGGAGTTGCTAATAAATTAATGTAATTGTCAAATATTTGTTTAGTGAGCCTTTATTAATATGATTAAGCTTTTGGCTAAGAAGAGTTCGGTAATTTGCCAAGAATGTGCTGAATAGTCGCAGTGCTGGTGAAGGATCTTCTGCAGCTCGTTAGTTACACAAATAATGCTGTGCTTATATGTGGTTAACGTGCTTTTTCTCTAAATCCTGCTCTCCAGTTTTTCATCTTTAAGTATGATGGTGCTTTTGCTCTCTGCTATGAGTGGCAACTATTTTCCACAGTTAAGCTCAAGAGGTCTTGTAGCTTATAATGATCAGTTCTTTACCTCTTCTTTCTCCAAAAGCAATAGCTCCAAATAAAAGGAAACTGAATTAAAGTTTGTTTTCTTGAGGAATTTGCCGTATCAGGATAGGAATCATTATTTAGGACCGTTGTTGGAAAGTACCAGTGTCTCAGGGGGGTGGAGGTGTGAGGTATGAGGGATGGTTTGAAGGTCCTGAGTTGACTGAGCCTGTTTGGCTGATATCTAAACTGTCTGTAATTAGGTGGGGAAATAAAAGTGGAGTTTGTAGCTGCATAGGACTGCAAAAGCCATGGTATAAAATAAAGTCAAACTAATTTTCAGTTCTTACTGAACAAGGCTGATATCAACCAAGCTCAGCCTGCAGTTTTTGGGATTCTTGCAGCTCCCATTGTTATAATGTAACTACAGCATTTGCATATGAGCACATGGCAGCTATTTTATTTTACTTTTTTATTCTGTTGCGGACATGATTTTACTATGCAGCTGCTAAATGCCTTCAGTAAAGGAATTGAATTGTTTGTCTGAGTTGCCAGAATCATTTATTGCTCAGCCTCAGATAATATGAGAAGCTTGGTGCTGAATTTAGGAATTGAAATTGTGATAAGAAGTTGGAGTTTGGAGGTGGAGAATTCTCAAGGCTGTAGGAAGAAATTAAGTATAGCATGGGGAATCTCAGAAGTGAGACCAGAACCTGGTGAGAAGAGCCAGAACTCATGAGAAAAAAATTAGTCCAGACATGGGAGAAGGAAGAGAGGTTAAGAACATGAGGGAAACTGAGAATGAATTGAACTGGGGCGAGGGAAGAGGTCACAGATATGGAGGTGCGTGTGTGTGGGGGTGGAAATTACATTGTAATGTGGGAGAAACTGGGGAGAAAGAGAATGGGGTTTGACTATTGATTTGTGGATTTTTAGAAACTTCTTTTTTGCTAAATCTACAGTAAGCTAAAAGTGCATCAATCTGTGAGGTTGTGAAGATGAGCACTGAGAATGTACGTGGTTTTTGAATTGTCTGTGCAACATCATGTCATGCTACTTCCAAGCATTAAACTTCTACTTGTTACTGTTTCTGCTGGCTCCTGTCTGGTTCCTTGCATGGCCTGGATCTGCAACAGGAAATCTGCTGGAATGGAATGAAGGACTGGTTATCATGAGAATGGGTTTTGTCATTGGTGATGAAAATGTGCTTGTATGTAGTGATCTGCGAAAAAGCAAACAGATCTGGAAACGTTCATTAAGATTGATTAACTGTCTTGCTGTGCCTCATGTAAATTGAGGCTAATTATCCCTTACTATAATTATGAGTGTGAATGCAAGTACTTTAGTAGTTCTGATATGCTCAGATCCTGGAATGAGGCAAGCTGAAAATAAGTCCTGTGTGGAGGAGTAATTCGGTTATGAGAGCATGGCTTGAATATACCTGGTAAATAAAAGCTAGGGGGATGCATGGGTTAGAACAAATTAGGAAATGCCCATGTAGTGGGTGAATAAGGCTTTAGAGTCCTCTGGCAAAAATAACATGGGATCATGGAGGAAAAGACTGCTGCAGCCAGTTGTACAAAGTAGCCAGACCTGAAGAGGTGTGTGCGTAGAACTACATCCCATCAATCAAATCACTTGCCCTACGCAGAGATGTTGGCAATTTAAACAGAAGGTGAATATTGTGTTAGACTGACAGCTGGGTAATCCAGCAGGGTAATGACTTGCCTCCAGATGCACTGGTTACCAGCACAGGGAATTCAGCTGTAGAGCTGCAGTTTATCCAAAGGCCCTCTGCCTGAAAGTTCCAGTGCTGCAGCAGGGATTTTAATTCGGCAACATGCAAGTGACCTTTACAACAATGGAAACTTTAGATCTGAGACCATGACCTACTGAAAGTATGTCATTTGCACAAATGTGCACAATATTATTTATACTTATTTATTTTAAAGAACCTTCCCTAACCCTGAGAATTATTTTGCAGGCTTTGCTTCAGAAAACTATGTGAACTGTTGGAAAGGTTCTATCTGCTTGAACTGAAAGTCACTGCAGCTTTAACTCGCTGGCAATATTTCTGCTGAAGAGGAAGGAAATCTTTTTTTTTTTTAATTTATTTAATAAATTTGCTATTGTGTCTCTTGACTGAGATTCAGGCTTCCTTTTTTGCTTGAAAATTGGAGTATTTATGGATTTGTACTTTACATGTATTTGGTAATTTAAAGCATAGGCTGCTTGAATACTGGTGATAGGGGGAATTCAAGTTTTTATTTCTCTGGAGCTGTACAGAAACAATACAACCAGTTTTATGATAAGAGAAAAATTGTTTCCACTTATGTGTATATAAATGTACACATGAATGACCCCAAATATTCACTGTTGAATTGTGTTGACCTTGTGAAGAATAAAAAAACCTTATGCATTTGCAATGTATACATATATTTAGTGGCAGAGGGAATTAGGATCTCAAGTTCTGCTATTCAGTATCCTGTGCTTTAGTACTGAGTAGTGCTTTTCAACACATAGTTTTTGTGATGCGAATTTTAATGGTTGCTATTTCCACCTGCCGCACTCCAGTAAGAATTGGTATTTATTAAGGGTGAGAGTAGAACAGTAACTGTAGCAGCTCAGGAGAGCATGGTAGGGATAGATACAGTAATCATTTACTGTGTCACTGTGTGTTGGATGCCTGTCTGCAGCCGTGGATTTGGGGGGAAATAATTGCACAAATGAGTGGAGGTGATTCTGCTCTGTGCTTGTTGTGGCTGAACCCTCAGGTTATTACAAGGAACTTTTTCAGTTTGGTTAGTGTTGTTTTGCAAGGGATTTAAGTTAAGCCTCATGCTAATGACTAGGCAGCAACTTATATTTGGATTAAATAGGTCTGCTCAGGAGAGATATAGTATTAGCCGTGCTGATAGAAATGTTTAGACAACCCTGTGGCCTTCAGTGTGGTAGTTCTGCATGTTTTTAATTGCATTACCTGCAGAGAAGGCTATCAGCCTTTATGTTCAGCATGGACTGGGCTGTGAGCAGCCTGATCTAGCTATAGATGTTCCTGTTCATTGCAGGGGAGTTGGACTAGATGACCTTTAAAGGTTCCCTTCCACTCAAACTATTCTATGATTCTGTGAAAGAGCTGCTGAAATCAGAGCTGTTTCTGCTCAGTGTAGATGTGTTACTCTGGATGAGTAGGTTAAAATGGAGCTACTCTTCTTTATAAAACTCCTAGTTCCAAGCCATTGCTGTGGTAACAAGTGATGATACACAAAGGCAAGAAAATCTGGTGTAAACATTCTTCTTTGCTGTGTGGCTTAAACTGCACAGTGCCAGAGTATTGGAGGTTTTCCAGTGGCCATCTGAGAGAGTTGGGTCACCAGATACAAAAGACATTTTCTAACAAAAGGAGCTGGTGTGAAATCTCTGTATTGTCCCCTGTGCAAAATAGTGCAGGTGTCCTTGTAGTAGGATATGCTGTTTCAACAGTAGATCAGGGAGCCAGATTTTCAACTGCTACATTCATGGAAGTTCTCTTACTTTAATAGAGCTTCTGAGGGTCTTGGTAACTTCTTTTTTAGCTTGACAGTTGTGTTGGAGCTGAATGTACACAGCTTCTCAATTTTGCAAGCACAAAGTCTTATTTCAGCTGGTGCTTTGTTTTAGCTCTACACATCAGGCTGTGAACAACACACATTGTAACCTCACTGTTTCCCTTAGAGGAGCCTCAGGTTCCACCTCTCCTTTTAGTGTCAGTCCTCCCTGCCCATCTGCAAGGGAGGGAAAGGTGCCCATTTGTGGTTGTCTTAATGCAGTGGACAACCTGTGTGTGTGCAGGCTTTCTATCCTGCACAGCTGTGCAGCCAAGGAGGTTCTTGAGTGGTGGCTCAGTTTTCATAAGGACAATGTAGCTGTTGAGCTTGTCCAAGCTGTGGATTTTTCTCTGTGTATGGAAACTCAGATCCTCTTGTGAGACTTCCCTTTCTTGGGTTTACTGTGGTTTTGCTGTTGGAACATGTAGCATGTTGTAGGACCAAACACACAGATTAGGTGAGATGACTTCTTTATGGCCTGCAGTGTTTGAAGAGACTACTACGTGAGTACCTTTCAAGAAAAAATAATGACGATTTGTCCATATTTTACATTCTTTGGAAGCATCAAGTTGTCTTTTAAATGGAAGGGGAAGGGTCAGCAATGGAAAGAGTGGAGTTGCCTGACCTGAAGTTTTCTAGGTTTAGTAGAGGTCAAGAAGGTTCCTAGTGCTGCCATTCTATGTCATCTTATAGATGCCTTTCCTGGATTTGCTTGGGTCCAAGGAACCCATTGAGCAAAACTGAAATAGATAGAAGGGAGCAATGCACCTTTTAGAAGAGCTGTAATCACAGATGTTTGGCATGCAAGATTTCATTAATGTATTAAAATTAATGCAAGTGACATGTGCTTCCTCACATGGGTCTGCAGAGAGCTACGCAAAAAGCTGAGGGGGACAAATCTGTGCCAGATATCACTATGTTCATCCATGCTTGGACTTATTTTGTCATCTTGCTATAGTTCTGTACAGAGAGATGTTTCAGGTCTCCCCTCATAGCTCTGGAGTCATCTGAGGGAAACGTTTGTAGGTGCAAAATGTCAGGGATTTTTCTTCTGCATTCTACTTATTAAAGGCATTCATTTTTATTCTGCATTGTCCTCCATC